CAGAAAATATTAGTGTTTTGAATAGTTAAAAATTTTAATATTATTATAAAACACTATTTTGGGGATTTTTAAAATTTTGAACGTCTATGCTTTACAGTATATTACGAGCACAGGGTAGTGGGTAATTAGCAAAAAAGTTTTTTGATTTTAATTTATTTTAATGGCATAAGTTGAACTTATTCAAACTATAATTTTTAAAAGTATTATGTTATTTAAAATGAATTGAATTTGAATTAATATACGAAATAAATTTAATTTATATAAAATAAAAGCTTTATAAATATTTTATTTCAAATGTGTAAAATCATACAAATAAATTTTATTGACAGTTTCAACTTAAACAAAAATTACTATGAATTGCATACAAAAACACAAAAATTTTGATAACTTTTTAGTTAAATTCTTTGCGTAAAATTCTTTTTAAGAATAACAAGGTCATGTGGTATATCATATAAAATCATAACTATTCAGGATTATTTTTGTGTATATTTTACGCAATTAAACTATAGGGTATTAAAATAAATTAAAATCAAAAAGATATTCCTAATTATCGGCTACGCCTAATATTAATATTTCAACAATTTACTAACTGACCTTTGTTGGAAATGTTTTTTTTTAAAATTGCTATTTTGAGTTTGGGAAAGTTATGACAAGTAAAATCCCAATATTATTACGTTAAAGTAAACTTTTGGTAATAAAGTCTATAACAAGGTCTTTTAAATAATTTGCCAAATTATGTATGTGTAATTTGATGGTCATATTAGTAATTGTCTATTAGGGAGGGGGAATAATCGAATTTATTACTAGATAATTGTTTATTTGAAAATAATTTAAAATTTTAATTTTTAAAATAACAATATAATGAGTATATTGATATTATGAAATGAAAGTTACCTTGAAGCAATATGTTAATTTATTAAAGAAATTATATGTTATATTAGTATGTTATTATAAATTCCATTTAAACCAGTTTATTATGCAATAATTATTGTAATTTATTTTTAAAATTAAATGTGCACCATTATCATAATAACAATAATAGTTTAAAATTTTTATTTTTAAAAGATTTATTATTTAAATCACTTTATATTTTATATTTATTACATTTAATATGGATAAATTAAATTACATAACTTAATACATTTGCTTTCAATTCTTACTTTATCAAACAATTTATGTTTAAAATAAATTTTATTATTTTTAAAGATAGTGCAGATTTTTGTTTTTGTATTATTATTATTAGTAAAACAATTAAAATATTTTGCATTTATTTTCACACATATTTCGGACATAAACTGCGTTAACATTAGTATAGAGAACCCGAACCATAGACTCAATACACTCGCCATAAGACACACGTATTCTTCGGGAGACATCTTAAGGGATATCTCGTAGACTACTGTCGGCTCCGACGGGGTATTCATGACAAACGTATAAGAATTTGGATCGGGATTAAGAAAACAATTATCCTAAGTATCCACATAAACATTGTAATATTCTTTGTTACTATCAACTTTGTTGGGACAAGCTCGTTCGCAGTACTTATATAAGTAGTAATGAAACTCATATTATTATTAAACTTTAGATCGGAACTTTTGTTGTAGGCTACAATTGTGTTTGCTTAAGCATGATATTTATTTTTTATCAAGGATATTTACTTGAAATGAATTTGAACTAATTCATTTTGAAATATAAATGTTACAATAATTATTGTAATTCATTTTAAAACGAAATATACATTATTATCGTAATAGCTATAGCATGTTACATTATTATAAATTATTATTATTGTAAGCAAGTTTGCATATAAAATAATTGTTTATGCACTCATAGTTTTGGCAATTGCTTAATTCATTTAGTTTAACTTGCTTATTTAATAAAAAGTCAGTCTTTTTACAAAAATATTTTATTATTTCAAAACTTATAAGTACTTATAGTTAATATTACATTATAACATAGCTTAGGCCGGTCTATCATACTACACATTGCATTGAATGTTCACACATTGCCACCACTCGTCTAACTGTCCCTCTCTATGACATAATCTGTTTATTTTATGTCTTATGCTAACAAAGAAAAGTCTAGAAAAATGTAGAAACTTCTAGAAAAGTCTAGAAGTCTAAGGAGAGGGGACTGGTATGCAATAACCATTAATTACATTTTACATTAGCTTTTAAACACTTTCCCACAATATTATATGATTATTAATGATTCATTAATATTGGTTCTAGTAAATTTTAAAATTAATATTGTGTGTATTTTAATTTATTTAAGTGTAATAAAATTTTAAATTCCTAGTACTATACACCATAGGTTAATTTATAATTTAACGCAATTAATATCCACCCATTGTTTACTATATTTACTTTGTAGCCAATCATTGCCCTTGATACCACAATCAGCCAAATCGAACCTGGTCACAATCTTATTATTCGGATTTTGACTTAATACACCCTCATAAATGGACTCGGGTAAATATTGATAGCCATCGTGAATTAACTCTAGCTGCACCGTACGATTAATATTGTTAAAAGTACCAGGGGTAATTACACTGTCATTCAACCTGTTCCAGTTAAGGCATAATCGTAAATTACGTTGATCAAATTTCGGACTTACGTGAAACGCACTCTCAGCAACTGTAGTAATGTTATTATAATATACCGAAATGTCCTGGATGTTTGTCATATTTGTGAACGCATTGCTTTCTATAGACTTAAGGTTAGCATGGCCAGAAATACTAATTTGGCTTAACCTATGATGATCTCTGAACGCATTTGCAGGTATCCTGGTCAAATTAGTGTTCATAATAGTTAGCTTTGATAAGCTTGGTGAATTTTTAATGGAATCGAAAAAATCATCATCACCAAATTCATTTATGACATTTTCAATGGGCGTATAACTGATATCAAGGTGCAATACCTGCGTACCATTGAACGAAAGTGGGTTAATATGACGCAAATTTTTGGCGTATAGTATATTAATTGTCTCAAATTCAATGTCCGAAAAGGCATAGTCAGGTACCTCGGTGATATTGTAATTGCTCAACCGTAGTTCAGGGAAATGTTTACTTTGTCCAGATAGTTGGTGGCTAAGGTTGTTAAATACTTTGATAAAATCTAGTGGTTTATATCCGTCACAATATATAAAACGATGCAAATCTTCTGGCTGAATTTCGCAATGGCATGGTGCTATAAGTTCGGGATTACCTGGACACTTTTCAGCCGTTATGCAACATATTAATAATGTTAACCAAAATGCTTGTATCGCTGTATAAAATTAAATTGTATATTATTTTACTGTATGTTTTAAAATTTAATGTTAAACTAATAAAATATATAGATTATAATTACCGAACATTGTAGTAGTTGAGTTACTAACTTTAATTAAACTTATTAAAAGTTGCGAGTTTCACTTGTTTATATACGAGTGTCGATAGCATGTAAACATGATTAATTTTTATTACACAAAGTCCTTAGAACATTTATAATAGTGAACATTTGAACTTATTATCAGCAATAATATTAGACCATTGTATTAATTTGGACTGTAATCAAGATCCTACAAATGTTCACTCTTATAAATCTTCCAAGGACTTTGTGTAATAAATATTAACAAGTTAAGGTAACAAGGTTAAATTATCAAGGTAACCATAGTGCATGTAGTTAATAAAACAAGAGAAACTTGAAAGTTTTAATAAGTTTAATTGAATTTCACTTTATTAAGAAAAATTGCTCATTTTATTAATTTTCAAATACCAATAACAAATAACGGACTGCCAATTAAATTGTGTGGTAAATATTAATTGAAAAATTGTAGCTTATAATAATACTAGTAAATTTGAAATCATATCATTTTAACGCTTGGTTTTCAGACAGTAAATTAAAAAAGAAATGATTTTAAAATAAATTAGTAACCAATAAATAATGACTGATTAATGAGAGGTAGTCCTCAAACCTTTTTAACCCTCTCATTTATCAGTCAGTATTTATTGATTACACATTCACTACTTAAGTACAACTTTCTAAACTTGTTTTCTATACTCAACATTTTCTTTCCGGCAACATTTAAGTTTCTGGGAATATTTCTTCATATTCTTTTTAAATTTCCTTTATTGATATCTATATATTGATTCCAGTTTAATAAATTAAATAACATAAATACCATGGGCAAAGTAAAAATTATATTCTTATATCATGTTTGATTTATTAAATAATAAATTAACCTTAATACAGAACAAGAACATTTAAATCAATTAAAACGAAAATATTTTTAAAATTGTATAAGTAATCCTTTGTTGTAAACTATATTTATTTACTCACATACAGTATATACTGTATGAGATATATACAGCATGCATATATTGATGCCTGCTTAATAGATTAAACAAAATCAATTTTTATTTTTTCAAATAGTTAATATTTAATTTTAATAGTTAATCATTTTCATTCATCAGTAATTGCATTGTTTTTCATTTTTCCGGTCAACTCATCCATGTCGTACTCAATTGACGGCTGCATTGTTTTTTGAGCTTGCAAAGTATAATTTGACAGAAACTCAACTTGCTTAATTAGCAAACTGCCAGCTAGGTAAATATCCTCATCTCGATCACTAGATAACAAGTCAATGTTCGTTTTGACCATTGATTTAATTCCTGTTAATTAAATTTAAGTATAATAGAGAACATCAAGGGACAAAGTTATTGTTAGTATTGTTTTGAATATTTAGCCAGTAAAATAATTTACATTTTTGAATTGGCTAGAGTAGGCGATTGAAATAAATTATTTGCTTAATTTACGTTCATTAATTTCTGACATCCTTATTTTACCATTGAAATAACATTAGATTTAATTATAAATATATATTAGTATTTTGAGTGCATATCTTGGTAATTATTGCTAGAATTATGTAATCCATGACCTCAAAAAAGTACTAGAAATTCATGTAAAGTACAGCTAATAAAACCTATATTATTTTTTATAACAAAATGAGAAAGTCAGTAATTTTTTAAAGCGAATTCAACAAGCTAATTCAATTTCATTGCCAACTTAAGTCAGTTCAAAATTGTAATTGTAAAAATGCAAATTATTTATAACAATCATAACCAAAATCATAACATATTAAAAATTAGCACGCTAAAATATTACCATTTAATATAGCAACCAACGGTGAGTAAGCAGACGCTCCAGGTTTTAATTTCTTAGCAAATTGTCGCACGTGAACGAGGCACATGACTAGCGTGTTACCTTGCAAGCCAATCTTTTGCACCACGGCATACTCAAGCTTATCGAGATTCTTTTTATCTGCGCGTAGCTTTTCGATCTCCTCGTTAATCTCATTCATTTGCAAATTAAAATTTTTTTGCAACCCTTGGAGCTCGGTCGTCGCAGCCTGGTAGTCATTTTTGTAGCGAGCCAGATCAGCATTTATAATTCTAGTCCTTTCTTCCCTATTATTCCTATCAGCAAGGTTGTTGTTGATGCGTTCCTTTCGTGCAGCAACTAAACTATTGTAGTACTTTAGATCTGCCTCCCTGTTTGGATTTTTTTCCTAAATAACGATTATAATCAACATTAAATATGAATACTTGTTTACTTAATGTTCATGAATAGTATTAAACGGTTCTACCCCAAAAAGCCTAAAACCTAAAACGCCTAAACCCCAAAAGGCCTAAACACAAATAACTAACTGACCAGTGGATATATTTTTAATTTGATTAGTGGAATAGATGCGTCTCAACCTAATCTAACCTATCCTAACCTCAATTAAGTCAAATGTCCATTGGTCAGTTAGTTATTCAAGTTTAGGCCTTTTGGGGTTTAGACCTTTAAGGCTTTAGGCCTTTTGGTTGAGTCCCGTATTAAACATGATTTTAGAGTGCGTTACTGCTATGGGTTTGTGATAAAGGAAAAGATTTACACAACTAAGCATTATAATTGTGGCTGCCGCATATGTTCAGAGCCCGGGAGGACAAATTACCAAAATTGAGGCAGGTCAGGAGGACATTGGGAGGACAATAAATATTTATTTATAATTATGTGATATAAGAAACTGTTGTTGTGATGTTTAAAACACTTGTTATTGTCCTCCGAACAATGGCGTCACAGTTTTACAAATTTAACTAAGAATTGGATTAATATTTGAATTATTTTAGCAAATATCTCTGGGTGGACATAACATTGTCCTCCTGAGACCCTTGGGAGGATTGTTTTTTGAGGGGCCTATTGATGGTTAATTCTCCCAAAGGATGACTGGTGGCAGCCCTAGTTGTATTGCAACAAAGCCATAACTGTAACACACACTATATTACATGTTTTCTTTAGAGATTTTTCAATGAATAAGCACGATAAATTAATTTTTACGCACTGTCACTGTCGAAGTCTTCGTGGTAGTAAAATTATAGAACCACCAGCCCACTGTGTTATGCGTTGTAATAGTTTTCTGTCTTGTTTGCGGAATATTCTTCATAGTGGTTTCGACATCCATGTTCATTTTGTTTAATTCATTTAACCGTTGTTTAGTCGCATCAAGATCGCACTGGACACCCGATAAATATTTCTCAGACGCACTCATTAAGTAGTAGGCGCTGTTTACTTTACCTAGGTGATATTTGATAAAAATTCAAATCATTAAGTGTGTATTTCTGATAACAATTTCCATATTATCGGACTTAATATAATATACAATGCTATCAAATGTTCTGAAAAATCCTATGCAATGAATATGACATAACATTAAGTGTTTTTGTATTGCATGGACTATTAAGTCCAATTATACAGGGATGGGATTTTTCGAGGCTCGATAATAAATTAGTATATTTTCAAAAATGTCTAACTTTTCAATAACAAAATTTTCAATACTATGTGTTTGTTTAATATTTTTCTCAAACATTAAAATTGTTATTTGCTAGTAATTCTCGATCAATATAAAAATTAAATCAATATCAATTTAAAATCAAAAACTTAATCAATAAAATCCTTACCATTGCCAAAGGATTGTTATTAGATAAACTTTTATTGTTTTACAAAAATTTTAAATTTAAATCCTTTATAATGATTTTTGTTTATTTATTATCTTAAATTAATGATAGATATTTGTGATTACGATGCACTAAAATATGCTAAGTTTTTAAAAATATACTAATTTATGCTGAGCCTTGAACACTCCCAACCTTGTACAAACAATGTGCTTAAATGATGATTTGAGTGCAAATGTTTGCCTCGGTTATGTGAAGGATAATTTTAAAAATATTATTTACATAAAATCAATATTCAATAGTTAACAATTTTTCATTATCTAAATTATTTAAAAATGTACCTTGCACGATGCCAAGTTCACGATAGAGCTCATCCTGTTCTTTATATTTTTTATTAATTTTTGCCTCCAGTTGATCCTTTTGTTCTGCAAATTTTGCTGCTTCTGGACCAATGATTTCGAATATTTGTTGCGATTGTTCGCCAAATTCATTGATGGCCACGCTGTCCAACGATTCAGCATCTTCAATATACTTATCTAATCTAGCAAGGGCATCTGGGATATTTTTCTGGGCAATCTCCACTGCCTTTTTACTGCCTTAATAAATCAATATTTTTTCAAAAATCATTTCTAAATTGGAAGCATCGTGAAGTGAAAGTAAATTGAGTGGTTATGATTTACATGATTAGTTAGCCAGTAACATAATTAAAATTTGTAATTGTCTAAATTCGGCGAATCAAGTAAATTAAGTAATATAATAAATAAAATACTTCAATTTAATAAAAATATTGCTAAATGAATTTATGGGTAAATAGCCTCCAGTAATGATCACAAATGACCAAATGATGACTAACTGACCAATACTGGTCATTACACCAAAATATTAAAAATTGTACATATTTTGCATGATTTTTACCATAATAAGTTATTATTGACCAAACTGACCACGACTAGACATTATAACCTACCACTGGTCAGTTTTAACTTTTGTGGCTGAATTGGT